GAAGGTTGGTTTCTCGGTTCGGATCTTTTAGTGTTTAAGTTTCTGGGAGCTGTTGCAACTGGGCTGGCGCGCTTGGGCGCTTGGTCGGGTAAGCCACAGATCAGGAGCTCCGAACTGCTTTCAGGTCCTGAAGATGACGATTTGTCGAAACGTCGACCAATAAAGCGGTTTCTGCCTTAACAAACCTGTACGGCAAAACAGTGGAAAAACATTATACAATATGCCCAGGTTTCAAGAAGACCGAACATGGAAGTTGCTATCCAAAATGTGACAGTGGAATGGATTACGTTATGAGAATTCACTCACAACTTCGAGGACATTTTCTTTTTTTGCTGGAAAATATATTAATAATTAATTGCAATAATTATATTCATTTCCAAATGCATTTTTATGATTTTTAGTTTTTTGTATTTAAAGTTTCGTTGCATTCCTGAGTTGTTTTTCAGAAGAAAAGCCTTTTATAGTAGGCTTCCCTACAGTACATTTATATCCGATCAAGGGCCTCATTTTTTCTTTGGGATTCCACCCCAAATCTTGTGAATGTTATCAAAAAAAAACTCTCACCTTCACAAGTAAAAATACTGCCCGTGAAATGCAATTCGAATCCCGAATTGCATTCACAAGTGTAACCAGGATTGAGTTCGACAACACGGCCGTTTTGGCATGCATCAGCAGGAATCGGGCTTTCTGAAACAGATTCGGTTGTTTACTTATTTACTCGATTTGTTTACTTATTAGTGAATTATGTAGTGAAGCTACACATGAAGTTACAATTTATAGTTTTTAATAAAGAGTTCTATTTGTTAAAGCTCTCCACAAAGAAGTTGGAAATGGGTACCCTAATCAGCAGTAGAGTAGTTAGCAAAATGACTTCTGTATGTCCTTCTTATAGTTTTCTGACGTCGTCAACATCAAAAGGCGAAACCCATTGTCGTGTGAAGTTAGAACTCTTTTAATTATTTCAATTACAACTCACCTCTGCAAGTAGTATTGTAAGACGTCCAGTTTCCTGCTAAACAACGGGGCAGCTCGTCCACAGTAAAGCCATCCAAACAGATTACTGTGGCTGTTTCATTGTTTTGATAAAAGGGTCTTTCAAAATGGCCATATTCCAGCGGATATGATCGACAAATTGGAGCTGTAGAAATTAAATATGTAAATTTACTCTGTAGATTGATGATTTTATACATTTTTACCGTTAAATGCGAAGTTGTAATCAACCCAATGATACGAATCTTTGAACTCATTCATGGCGCATACTCGGAATGGATATGTAGTCAACGACCAATCAGGAGGACGGTAATTAGCATGAATAAGTGGTTTCGGTGGAGGGTCCCCAATAAGGGTCGCATTCAGGTAATGTATCTCTGTGCCTGAGCAAGTAGCATCTAGAAATAGATATTTTTGGTAAGTAAGACGATCGATACGTATGTTTTGTGCAGAGCCATTAGCTTACTTGTGCAGAAGGGTGCAGGAGCCCATCGTCCATTTGTGCAGGTGGTTGTCGATATGGTCCCTGGTAATCGGCCAAAATCACATCCGTACCGTAGGACAGCCCCATCACAGTAGACATTGTCCTCGCAAGATGAGCGCACTTCCAAAGGATAGCCACCACGAATAAGAGGAAGGGGGCAGAAAACCGTTATGGTTTCTGAAACAGACAGAATATGGAAAGGAAGGGAGTGTGTGCAACAAAGAATTGATTTGTTCACCAGAAATTTCAAGGAATAAATAGTCCGAGTTACCTCGACAAACGGGCGGTTCAGATGACCATGCACCTCCCGTGAGACATTCAGCTGTCAGAGCTCCTACAGGTTGTGCGTGATGGTCGACACAAGAGAACCGAATAATACTGCCCAGATGTCGGCCTGAGGGCGACAATACACGGACTCCTTGTGGTTCTCGTGGGGATGGACAGTCTGAACGGTTTCGATCACTTTGAGATTTCTGATTTCCGCCCGATTTGCCCTTTGTTTAATGGTAAGACCGACCCCGAGAGAATTTCAGTGATAATTGAAAGTCCGTGCTTCGCTTTGTGATCAGAATGTGAAGCGGTCTAAGTAGGTTTTGCATTCGAAAATTACGAATAGTCGAACTCAAATGAGTAACGGTGCCGTCCTTGATCACCTGGAATTCATTTCGTTTGTACAGATTCGAAGTAAAAGTGCTCTAATCGCATTTACCGTAATAGCATCATCTGTGGATAGTCGTCCATCCATGGTCAACGTGTGCGGTAGGAACTTTGTGCTCGATTGAACGACGAGTCTCAGTGTATGCGAAATGCACTGGCGATCATCTGTCGGGTACCAGTCGAAAGTGAATCCACTGAGATTCAACGGTAACTTCAGTGGCTCTGCCAAAAACAGAACCTTCACATGAATGATATAAGCTATGTAAAGGATAACACTTCCCTACCTTCTCTAATGAACCGGTATTGGACAGAAAAGGCAGTATAGCGCTTCGAGATCCATGCATTTCGAACTTGGACTCGAACGGTATTCGACGGAATCACGAGAATTTGTGTAGTCCGAAGGTCTTTCAAACTGTGGACCGACTTGTCGAAGAGGAACGTGATCATGGCGCGTTCTCCAATTGACGACGGGTAGATCTGGAATGTCGTCGTGACCATTAGGACTTTAGCCGAGGTGGCGGAAGGCAACAGCAAGTGAGTGTGAGTGAAGCTCTGTGAACTTGACGACAGCAGGCAACATAACGCCATTACAGATGAAGTCAAGCGATTTGGCATTAGGAAGTAGGTTTGAGACGAGACAGTGGAAACGTCAGTAGTTATGCTCTGGACATGGGAGCGCAGACTTCCACTACGACACTTGACAGTTGACTCAACCAACTGGTGGGTCCCTATTTTCTTTTTCACTCCNTCCAATTGACGACGGGTAGATCTGGAATGTCTTCGTGACCATTAGGACTTTAGCCGAGGTGGCGGAAGGCAACAGCAAGTGAGTGTGAATGAAGCTCTGTGAACTTGACGACAGCAGGCAACATAACGCCATTGCAGATGAAGTCAAGCGATTTGGCATTAGGAAGTAGGCTTGAGACGAGACAGTGGAAACGTCAGTAGTTATGCTCTGGACATGGGAGCGCAGACTTCCACTATGATACTTGACAGTTGACTCAACCAACTGGTGGGTCCCTATTTTCTTTTTCACTCCGATCGTCAACTAACTATGGGGTATCCATAAAAGGAAAAGCCGCTATCGCGCGAATATACTGGCCAATATTTTTCAAGGGGCTCCGGTTCGCCAAAGGACCAACTGGTAAGTAGCTCAGGAGAGGTGCTGTGAAATTTCGCCGTCTTGACGTCTCCGTGAAGGCGATATTTGCCATAAAATGTCGCTCTCGAGTTGTGAGTGACTGAACAGTATAGCTTACCTCTAGGACTATCGCCGAAGTTTGATCAGGACTATGTAAAGTATAAACGCAATCATAATTGTCTCGCCATGACTCGTAAGTGACATTGTTGGCGGTCATACGACAAACGTCCGCGGATTCTGAACTCATGATTAAGTATTATATGAGCGAGGGAATATATCTCAAAGAAAAGTGCTTGCAAAGTGGTACCACCATCCCCATCACCGAACACAAACGATATTAGGACTATGAATGCAAGAGTAAAATAAATGTTTTCTAGACATATGAAGTCGAGAAATCAAGCAAAAGCTCTCAAGCTTCTAACGTTTGATACCGAAGTCATTAGGTAATTTCTTTCGTGTGTCATACAGCTCTCATCTTTTCACAATTTAAAGTTTTTTACTCACTGCTTTGAATGAAAAGTAATCAAAACTGCTCTTTAGACCTTTTTCGTATTGCTTCACTCACTTCTGCTGTAATAACGCAGCAAAAACCCTCTGCCAATGCCATTTGCGCCGCTAACGAATCTCAGTTGAATCCTGCTCGATTTTGAGATGTATGAAAATGGATAGTTGCCACTTTTCAAGGCGAACTTGTCGCTTTCATTGTTTCCTTCCAGTATAAGTGTGTCGCCGGGCGCCATAAGTATATCTTCCACCTAAATAATAATATAAGTGAAAAAATTTGAAGAGCAAGAATTCAAGATGTCTACCTACATTGATTATGAGAATCTGACCAGGTTGAGCACGGATATCCCACCGGCAAAAAGTTCTTTCGGAGTAGTTTCCTGGATAGTTCGGAGAAGTGATCATCCCTTCGGGTAGATCCACGATAACATTTTGGCAATCATTGCGAGAGATAACCGAGAATTTCGGACCCTGGAAAACATTTCAGAGAGCTTTTGTGAAGTAGGCGTGGCTCCACATACACTCGTCCCGCCCACATTTTTGTTTCCCACAGCCATGGGTGGTGCTCTTTCGTCCGACTCGTCGCCACAGTCGATGATACCATCGCGAACGGCATTTCTCGGGATACAGCGACTATTGTCAAGGCATCGAAACTCATCTGAAATTGTTACTGGCTTGTAGATCACTTGAAAATCGGTAAAAGACTGGGGAACGAACCTCCCATACAGGCGAATGTTTCACACAACGCTGGTAATCGCTCAGTACAGTTGAGCAAACGCCAACCTACACTTGCTTCTGAGCGAAGATCCAGTGCTACACATTTGCCAAAAGGATCTACAGACCAATGTGGTTCATCGGTGGCCCATATAGGGTTGTAGATAGAGGTTTCGATAAGTTTCCAGATAATTTTCAGCTTGTTCCGATTTTCTGATGTACTCAAACCTGAAATTAGGTAAAATTGTGCGGCTGACTCGGATAGATCAGAGCGCATGAGATGTAAAGTCACAATTGTCTATGTCCGTAATCCGTACTTCGAAAGCTCTATTTCCACATGGAACAATATCGATGTTTGTTGCAATACGGTGTTAGTAATACAGTGCGTTTCATAAGTACAAGATCACCCTCGACTTTGGTGTTTACACGATAAGCAGCCGAGCACATATCTTTCCGGCACCACCATTAGATTCATCACCTTCAACCCTAACATACCTGCTTTGGTTTGCTCAACTTTATATTAACATTTATAAAGGCTATTTTCAGTTTGTTTGCCGTTTCGTAAAATGGGATCACCCCGACAGCACGAGGATTTCGAAATTGAGTGCAGCGGAATTTGCACTTGGAGGGATCTGTCTAGGAGAGAATGTGTCGCAAATATGTTTGAAAACAGTTTGCACTTTGCCTCAAGGAGATCATCTTTCCTTGGAAGAAAAAGCGCAAAATCGAGATTTTCGTGATAAAGGGATCGGCACGAGGGCAATCAGGAGGAGAATCGTGAGATCCCTCAACTTCGTTCAAAGATATTCGAAGACTACAGAATCCCCACGAGGACAGGATGCCTGCGCAAGCTAACCGCGAACGACGAGAGGAGAATGCTAAGAACTATTTCGGAGAACACCTTGGCGTTGAAGAAGGTTCGACCGGGGTTTGGTCTTGGTGTGTCCAAAACTACTGAATGGATAGCCCTGAAAAAGAGCCGCAGCCTTGCCAATGAAGAGGGCAGCGAAGCTTACCGACCACCACAGGGAGTGGCACAACTCGAATTTGCGAATGAATTTGGGATGAGATTGGAGAAAGTCGGCCTGTATTACCGATTAGCCAGTACGATATTCTCGTTCAGGTCGTATTTTTCGATGAAAAGAAAGTCAGTTTGAAAGCCCCAGATGTTTACAACTACTACTGGTAGACTTATGAAAAGAGCCGATTAACTTCAGTCGTCACAATTTTGGAGGAGGAAGTGTTATGGTGCGGGATGCCTTCTGCAATGATGTCGGCATACTCTCGTGACCTTCAAAATGGACTCCAAGGACTTTAAGAAAGACTTACAGTGGCACCTGGTGCCATTTCTGAGCCGGCAACGTGGTCCTAACTACGTTTTCCGACAGGACAGCGCTGCGATCCAGCGCGGGTCATTTCTCGAAAGATTGGTTCCTTTCTTAAAATTTCGAAGTTCTGATATGGCCAGTTTGCAGCTCCGATCTGACCCCGATGGAGAATCTGTGTAACATCATAACCCCGTCAGTTCCAGGCGATAGAAGGGCTCAAGCAGGCAGTACTTGAATCTTGGAATGAAATCTGCTGCGTGGTCTTTCGAAACATTGTTTCGAGTATGCCATGTAGGCTATTCGATATTGGGCTAGAACTCGGAAGACCCGTCGACTATCAAATGTTTTTTGTCATCACTAATGATGATTTTTTTTTTGATTTCTCAAAGTGATCTTATACTTTAGGCTATTCGATATTGGGCTAGAACTCGGAAGACCCGTCGACTATCAAATGTTTTTTGTCATCACTAATGATGATTTTTTTTCGAGTTCTCAAAGTGATCTTATACTTATGAAACTAAAAATTCAAAATTATTTATAGAAATGTTATGGTAGAAGTTGGTCCAAAAAATGTCCGTGCGTGAGAGTTATTCAGGGTGGTGAATCTGACAGTAATGCTTAAAACTTATCGGCTTGGCTGCTTATACTGTAAACCCCAAATTTGATGGTGATCCTATACTTATGAAACGCA